TGACATACGACTGGTGATGTATCTGCGCACTGTAAAGCTTCGAGGACACAGCTAGTCTCTTCGGTAGCGCATTCACATTTGCGCGACTCTTAACACTGTGCGTTGTGTGCGAACTTAGGATTAATTTAACAGTCGACCGGGGAAGGCTGACAATCCACGATAAACGTAGACGCCAACCGTGGATGGGTGTGCTAACTGACACTGAAATCATACGTGGACTGGCAACCTTCCCGGTCGACTGTTAAGTTAATCGTGCGTTCGCAAACGACGAAGACGGTGTCCAAAGTCTCGCAAATGTGAATGCGCTACCGAAGCTACTAGCTCTGTCCTCGTACACTTGCTTATTTCACACTGGTACCCAAAACGATACTTACCTTGTAAGGCAGCGTGCTGGCTTCTTTCTTGTTGCCATCGCTGCGACTTGCGCATACTGGCCCCTATGGAATTTCCCGTTTGGAAACTAGCGCAATATCCTCTTCCCAGTGAGGCTAATTTGCCGAAAGGCCACATTTTACGAATTAATGTCCCTTCTCATGATTGGAGCACCTCCCCCTTAATTTAGCCCCCGTGTCGAAAACTGGGTTACCTTGAAACCGTGACCCCTCCCGGAACCCAAAAAAATAATAGTCCTGGAACATGATTTGATAGGATACGGTAACCGCACCTTCCGAACTCGTTCTTAATGCTCAGGAATGCCATCGCGATAAGGACGGTATCGGGTACACTTATATCGAACTGTAACTAGCAGTCTAGCATTAGAGAGTTGCAACGGTGGAACAATCTAAGAACAGCCAAATGAAAAATCTCAACGTGAGAGAGGACTGTACGCAACACTTTTTCTGGTGTAGTAATGAGTTTTATTCTGAGAAGAAATTCTGCAGATTCTCCGGACTACCAATCCTGCGATCCGCGTCCGTCAGCGCATTATCGCAATCACACCTGGACGTCGTACAACGTAGCGAGCGTGGACGTAAGTAAACTGAACCTGGTGTGCCTGTACGCTTTGTGGCGCAGCGTTCAGGACTGGTGGCCGGCAAACGCCGAAAACGACGAGAAAGCGGTGCAGTCCAGCGAATACGGAAGCTCCACCGGGCACCGAGTCCGAGAATGACGGAGAGGAGTAAAAGGGGAAATATTGGAACATCTCCGATACGTTTCGTGTTTAAACTTGTACGCTGTGGACCTTGCTGCACAGAACATTAAAGGAAATGTCCACCATCCATCACATGAAAAGCCGAGTATGATCACTATTTTTTCGTTCATCTGAATGTGAAACGCCCGCGAGCTGCATTATTCAAGATTATCGGCTGCAGTATTTTTCCGTTTGTTCAATTTTTGCACTTTTTTTAGCCCCGTGTTGTTTAGTCTAACTAAACCTAAATATTATTATAAAGAATCCAGTTTTTCCAGTAGTTTGTCTATTTGAAGAATATTGTAATGCGCCGACACAATTCACGTATAACAATACCGATAATATGGTTGTTCTTCTGGTGGGGACTTTTGGAAATATTGATTAACGTCCACCTTCGTAAACAGGTCAGAACGCGAAATTACTGCCGCCAATAGAGTGCCACAACCTTCCACAAAAGCATGTGCTACTAGGCTTACTAGTATCAATTTTGCTGGTTCAGAGAAGATACAAAGGACGTACCAAAAGTAAGTTTCCCTATTTTGCCTCCCCGCCATCTGAAGTAATACACAACTGATATATTTTTTGTTACATAAGCAATTATGTAAACTACCCAGGAAAATTAGAATCAAATGGTTTGATGAGAAACGGGAGAAAGGAGAAATAGAATGGCTTGTACCACTTTTTCAGAATTTCCACGGACTTTTTAGAAACCCATTCATTCTTGTATCACGTCCGCTCCAGTCCAGTTTCTGGCCGTAAAATAAAAGTGTTAACTGCAAAAAGTGTGCTTAATATTTCTGTAGTAGCAGATCTTTTTGAGAAGTTCAGGGGCTTGATCAAAAATTTCCTTCCTCACGACACCAAATTTTGTCTTGTTCAGCCTTCTCGGATCTATGAATTCAAGATTCTTTGCATCAATGAAAAGAACATTTTATGCGCAGTTATGCGCATCTGAGATACCAATGGCCTTTAAGTTACAGCAAGGCCAGTATTTTTTTTTCATGAAATTTTGATTTTTTCACCGTCTAGAAGTAAGGCCGCTCTTTGTTTTTTGCACCTGGTCATCGATAGTTTCTATTTTCCCAGAAAAACAGTATAAGTGAATTTTTTTGTTTATTAATTGAGATCAGCAGAGAGAAGAATACGTAACTTGTAGACGCTTTGATTGTTACAAAAAGTTTACAGGATGTTTGAGAAAAATTGCAAAAACTGTCCTGGTAAAATCCGTGGCAAAGTGCGAAAAAGTGGTCGATGGATATTTTGGCAATTCTTCTCCATTTGATTGTTCTTAGACAAAGTTTTATTTTACTTCTTTTCCTTAGTGAACGGCATTTATATCTGCATGGATAATAAAAGCTAAAGGCATTTGCGCTGGAAGAGGCAAAATAGGGAAACTTACTTTTGGTACGTCCTTTGTATTATTTATTAAGAAACGGAAGCGTTGCGCTCAGCAGAAGTAGTCATATATTGTGGGCCCGTTTGAGATACCTGTTTGATATATAACTGACACGCTTGGGTGTGCCCGCGCCATTTTTTGAAAATATTTGCGGAGTGACTATTTTGCCGCAGTTTTTGCGGCAAAATAGCCTTTTGCTATTTTGCCGCAGCATCTGCGGCCAGTTAGCTTGTTGGCTATTTTGCCGCACACTGCGGGTGTTCAGCTTATCAGCTATTTTGCCGCCGTCTGATAGCTGGACTACTCTTTTGGCTGTTTGCAAGAAACCAAAACCAACACACATTAATATGTAGTTACCTAATTTCCGAAAAATTTCCAAAATAAAACCGTGGAAAAAGGAAAGCAGGGACATCGTAATCGCCTTATGTAACGTTTTCACCAAGTCGCAACCGTAAATAACTAAATAACTACGAATATAGTAAGTACTGTACACAATAATGCGTAACACTGTATACAAGGAACTTGTCAAAAAAGACAAAACGATTCGCACTAAGCACACTCATTGGCCATTGCATGAAGACTTTAACCGAAGGGAAGGAGAAAACGACGCGCCTAGAACCAAAATTCGGGAAGAAGAAGAAAAGGTTGCGATTTTCAGGTGGTCCGCCCTCCCTTATTTGCGAATTCTAGCGGCTAAGGGGCGGAATAACTTCAAATTTTTATTTAAATTTAAAACTTTAAAGTCTTCACCTTTTTTTCCAGATTTTTATAATCTCTTAAATTTCTCCTTTTCCCTTTCAAAAAGTATACCTTTTTTTAAAGATTTAAAAAAACATTTAGTATGACGCTTAAATCGCATGCAAAAACGAATTTAAGGCACTTGACACCGCCTCCTCGGCTATCCTACCCAAAAACTCCTTATACCGGCTGGGCGTGTGTGATATCCTTCAAAAAATGCACTCGGACTAGTTTCTGCCCTGGTCTGACATCATAATGCACAAAGTATGCGAATGATGTGACCAACGGAGAAACGGCTTTATCTGATTATTGTTGCCTGAGGCATTCCAATGGAGAATTATTACTTATAAGGGTAAAGAAAGAGATCAGTAACCCCATATAGGTAGGGTACGCAATTTACGTACGCAATTAAAAACACAACTTGCATTAGCTGCAGTGCATATCTTTAGAGCTAATCTGGGTTTATCTAAAAATAGGTGGCAGTGTAAATAAGTCTTTCGGTTTATACTGAGCCATTAACAATGTCAATCGCTGCCGGCAGTCCTGGCGTTTGCCAGTTGCACGAGAAGAGTTTTTTTAGATGAGTTGGACTGCTGAGATGAGTTTGGCGGCCAGACCTTAACTTAATCAAGACTCTGCAGTATCTGCATAGTCCACCAAGGCTGCTGTTGAAGTCTCTGCGGGTATGCCAGGTACTATTTTACCATATTCGCAGCAAACCTACAGTTCCCCTAGGTGGCTGCTAAGGTCACTGTAAAATTTAGATATGCCGGTTTTGATTTTTCTATATTCGCAGCGTTCGCCAAGGGTGCTTTAAGGGTCAGTCTTTGTACCCATACACAGCGGCATGCCGGGTCTGATGTTCCCCTAGTCGCAGCATTCGCAGCTTTCGCCAAGGGTGCTTTAAGCTTAAGGGCAGTTTTTGTGCCCATACACAACGGCATGCCGGGTCTGATGTTCCCATAGTCGCAGCATTCGCAGCTTTCGCCATGGGTACTTTAAAGGTCCACATATTATTAGGTCCACATATTATTACCACATAGGCCAACATGCGCGAATAAAGTTTTTCAATCACGGTTGGAAAAGCACCTTTCTTGCAAGAACATCTATAAGTTTTTCAGTGTGTAAATAAATCGCTAAACAAAACTTCTTTTTAACAGAGTAGTAGTCCTTAATAAAGCTGGCTGGCTGAATAGGTTACCAAGTGACGAAAAACTATCGAACCGCAATCTGCGGCAAAATAGCCTTAGCCAATAATTTGCTGAAAATTCAAAGCTTTCTAGAAGATTGGTTTCGCTCAACTTTTACCGTAACAAACATAGTTTTTCGAACGAGACTAGCATGATGCAAGTCAGATGTCAGACGAGAGCAGAGCACTCTGACAAAACAGACAGCCATTTTGTTCTGCCACCCGCTAACAACGAAAGATAAAAGTTTATCCAGCTGCAATGACTTTACGAAGGTTTGTGTGACAACACAGGTTTCGGCTGCAAGTGTGTTTGTCGAAAGCGGAAAACAAAGCGCCTTAACCTGATATAACCATCGAAGAAGATAATTTTTTCTTTGGTAGAACTTTCTTGACAGCAAGATGAATTCACTTATTTGAAGTGCTGAGAACTGCTGTACGTTCCTAACGTGATTTGTACAGCCACCAGTTTATATTCCCAAATTTGGTCACATGAGCTTAGTAGATTTCTGCCTCTTAGTGACGCAGTTTGCCACTGAGAAACAAGAATGCATCTGTACGAGACTGCTGAACGCTCTGTCTACGCGTGGAACGCCGTGGACGTGGAGATGGACGGTATGCTGCAGCACGGCCATGTCATCGGTCTGGAAGAGAACGACAGCACCCCGCCGCGTCTTATCGTCGACTATGGTTGTCAGCAGACAGAGCTGGTGCCGTATGGGCAGATCTGGGACTGCTCCACCAGTTCATCCAATAACGTGTGCGTTGGCGGGCAAGTGGAGGTGCTGCTGCACGCCGGCCGAAACGGCCCTTGGAAATGGTACCCCGGGAAAGTGCTGATTAGGTCATTCAAGCACCTGGAAAATATGGCGCTGGTGGAGGTGTCGATGGGCGGACAGTCTCACCGGGAATTGCTACCCCGCCAACAGATTCGAAAGCCACCTGGAAAAGACGCGCAGCAATTACTCCTTGCAGCGGGCCATTTTATTGTGCGGACCTGCAGTCTTCCCAACGGCTACTGGGCTCTGCAGCCGTCTGTAGCAGCGTCGCTGCTCCGACAAACTGAGCGGTATTTGAACCTGCGATTTGTCAAGGTTCTAAGTCAGACGGTGCTTTACTTGCGGCAGAGCCACAGATCGAGTTTGCCCGGTGAAGATGTGCTGATTGTAAGTCTATGTTAGACATTGCCGTTTGAATTATACCTTTTATCATCTGGCATCATCTCAGTATCTTACTGTAGGGACTGGTGTTCGAAAAAAAGAAAGTCGTGCGTGAATTTGGACAGAAATCGCTCATGAACAACGAACAGACGGACGATGATTGTGAGCCAGAGCCAAAGCAACCGTCGAGCGTCGGTGAAGGCGGTTTTACGGTGCCTCTGGATGTGCTGAAGGAGATCTTCCTGTCCCTGGACACCATCGACCAGCAGCGCTGCCGCCGCACTTGTCAGCTGTGGGACGCCCTTCTCACGTCGACGGAGCTGTGCCAGGAAATGCGTGTATGGCGACAGCAGCCCAGCCCTTCACCGCCCACGAAGTGGGACCGCAATTACGCCCTCTACGCCTGCCTGTTCAAGTACCTCACGCCCGCCACCCGCACCATCTGCATTCGGGGGTCCACACCTGTCCGCATGCGGGCCTACGGAATCCCGAAAGAGGATGTCGAAATGCTGAACTTAATTAGGGAAGTCATAAAGGACCCCGCCCTCCGCATCGAGCGTTTCGTATTGCACCAGCGATCCATCACGATGGCAGAATCAGAATTTTATGCACCGAAGTTAAGCGCGCTTTCCACTCTAATCGTCGCGCAATTGGCTAAGCTGTTCTCGTGCTGCGATCGCGTAATTTGGAAAGATAATATCATAACACTGTTAGGCAGGAGCCGTGTACCCGTGATGGAGTTCCGCATTCCCGTTGCCACCTTCGTTCTGGGACATGTCGATGAGGCGCAGATTGTGGACCTGCTGGAACAACATTTGCGCTGGATGGGACCGCCCTTGGATGTGCAGCGCATTCTCCAGTTCATGGCCGATCGGACCGACAACAATGTGATGGCCAAAGTTCAGAAGGTAAGTCCAACTTTATCGTGACACTGAAAAGCAGCGTGCTGGTTTTCTTAGAACTTCTTTGGTAAAGCCATCTGAATTACATGAAAACTTAAACGCCAACCTGTCCCATCATCGACCGGTCTCCTGAAGTTTTGTAAAACTAGGAAAGTGCACTCGCGTTTTGCGAGCACTGCATGACCGAAGCGTAAGGTAGAGAGTGAAATAAATCTATTTATCGTGTCTTAATTTTATCATAGTTGTTTTAATTTTATCGTTATTTTTTATCAGTCAACCCATTGGCGCGAACATCGCATTTGTTACCCAAGTCCGCTGTGACGGTAGTTTTATATTTGTACACGGGCACAAAAACAACGGAATAGTGGGCCAAAGAGGCATGTAATTATTGCAGGCTTTTTAACCGGTCCAGTCCACGCGCTCTCTGCAAGGTGGCCTTCTTAGTTTTAATGCTTTGCAGTAAATTATATGAAAACATTAGGCTCAGCTGCTAAGCCACTGCCAGTACTTGTTTTAACCCGGAAAACCCAACATATATTAGACCTGAGGCAAATTCTCTAGCTCCGAGGTGTACAACGGCGTGGTTAGACTTTATGCCCTGGGATTTGTGAATGGTGATCGCCCACTCCAGGCACAGAGGCACTTGTATTCTAGTGCACTTGTCCAATTTGTCGTTCCACTGAGTTGTGATGGGGACGATGGGAACGCAGTTGTTCGCCATGTTGGCCGGTATACCGTATACGGCAAGGTATCCTGTATTAGTTTTTTAGTACTGTGATTCCATGGATACAACGGTTGTATATGTTGCACTAATTAATATGTATTTCGGGGAAATTTCGATAAGCCGCAAGTCTGTACGGCTTCCGCGCATTAGTGTAGTGCGTGGAACCGTCCGACGACCGTAACAGTTTGCATGAGCCCAATGCTGCCGATTGCACATTTGCATGTGCAATCGGCAGAATGCTGACCGTGTGTGCGTGCTTTAGGTGGCGGTGACCGACAGACACCACATTTTTCACTACCACCCTAATGTGTCTAATTTGCCCGGTCATGCTGCAGATTCTGGAGGACTACCAATCCTGCGATCCGCGTCCATCGGCGCATTACCGAAATCACGAGTGGACACTGGACACTGTAGCCGGGGTGGACGTGGGCCAGCTGAACCGGGTGTGTCTGCACGCCTTGTGGCGCTACGTGCAGGAATAGCGGCCAATATCCGCGGATGGCAATCCGCCCTCTGCTCAGTCCAGCGATTCCTCAGCCAACGCTTCCCTAATTGCGCTGAAACCCTTGAATCCGAAATAGAAGACTGTGAAATTTGAAGATATTTTCAAGCTTATCATAAATTGTTAACCATTTTGACAGAACAGTGTGGAAGCTGTTCGGATTTCGCCTGTTTAAGATGAGGCGCGCTTAGATAGTTTTCATAACTCATTAGTTTTCTAGCTAACCCGTCCCGCGCGATTTATGTTTAGACCGTTTCGCTGGATTTTTCAGTTTGTTCACATTAACGACATTCATTATAAGCCGTGCTCTATTCCGTATCCTCAAAATGATTCACTAGAAACGAGAAGTGGGTTTAATAACAGCACTACTATTGCGATTTTTCCGTATCCCCGTTGTTACGTATACCGTAGCAGCGCCGCCCGTATTCACCGGCAGATGAAATGCTCTGCGTTCTGGCGCTTACTGACCGCCAATCTTGGTGGATGGCTCGAGTCCGCTAAACGTAGACGGTGATGCCTTATTCTCGCTAAATTTTTGTTAATCCCTTGCATATAATTATTTGCTCCATCCTCGTACTTTAACGAATAGACCTGAATGTGAAGTTTTTCAGCTTGCACTTTGCTAGGAAAGCTGTTAACGGAAGCATTTAAGCTTAAAACGGGTCATCGCGCACAGCCCTGATTAACGGAGGTAACCCAGTTCATAGCACTAAATTCGTGTACGTACATTCCAAGGGAACTTTCGTGCACTTCCAAACTCTCTTTTGGTTTGCTTTTTGGCATTGCGTAGCCAAGTGACGTGTTTATATCGGCACGAAATCTTCTTCGCGCGCAACATCGGCTACCTTAACACTGCACAGCAGTTACGGTAAACTGCGATGCCGGCGCAACCAGTTTGTAATGACTGTCATTTTCACAAATTCGGGGTGGTCAGAAGCTCTGGAGGTTTCCGCTTTTGCTACCGCAACCGTTTATCATACCGCAAGCTCAAGATACCCGTATCATAAACAAGATTTTGTCCCCGCGCTGCGAAAACGGCTAATCAATGGCAGTGTAAAAGCATTGCTATGCAGCAATGTAGCCGCTAGAGGAACTTGCACCAGTCTGACATTGTGCTTTTATTATAATTATCTAGCGTTGCAAAGAATAAAAAAACTAGCAATGAACAGCGAGACATGTAAAACGGCGGTAGCATCGGAGTGAAAATAATTCATATCAAAAACATTTTTGCACGAAGCAAAGTGTGTACACTGGGCCTGCCTTTTTCCGTACACCAGACTCTGTGGTGCAAGTTCGTTTAGCGGCTGCAGTACTCTGTAAACAGGGCGGTTCGAAAATTCGATAATAAAATCATCAAACAATGCAAGCAGTATTGAGCTGTTTTCTGAATGGCAGGAGCGCAGCAAATTTAAACCGTATACAAGCAATTATACATAAGTATATATACTCGTACATAATACAGATACTTACTTTAAAACAAGTGGTACCCAACATATGGTCCCCTAGCGCTAATTTTGTGTGTGCACTCGGTGGTTAACGTACGGTCTGTCAAGCTATTGCCCTATACCACCAAAATGTTGTGCTAAAGCATGAAAATAGATATTTGGACTATAAATCGCGCATTTCGTTAATAAAATGTAAATAAGCCACTAACAGCTTGCCTTACTTCAAAGCAAATCTTAAACATTCAAAATCGCCCCGCTTGCCTTTCTCCAATACCACCTTGCCTTTTCTATTGAAAACGATAAAGTAGCAAATTTCGAAAAAAATGGACTTCACAATTGCGTCGCAGACAGTAGAGCAAGAAACGCAACTGCGCCCGCCCGGGAGGCTTTTTACAGTATAGTTAAGCGAAAACCAAATAAACCACTGCGGGGGTCAGGCACTTGTAACAGACTTTAAATCCGTCCCACAGTCAACAGAATCTTCTCGGCCATTTTTGTCTTCTCTCTTCGTTTCTTTTCTTTCTCAAAACTAAATTTTGATGAGAAATATGCAAACTTACGACGATGGATTATGGTACGGATTATGGAACATTTTCTGTCATGGTGTGAAGAATTCGATCCAACTGCAGCGAAACTGCCAAAAAAGCGTGTAGTTGTTGAGGCAGTGATGGGGTGGTCGGTTTAACTGAGATGGGTTCTTAACTTTCCCCGTTGAATTTGTATGTTAAAGTTTTAAAACTTTTCTTTCAAACGTAACTTTAAAAACCGGTTTGTGATGGCAAATCTACACGTTAAGGGCTATCGACTAATACTGTACATGGTCAGGGTAGTTTGGGTCAATGCGTCGAGCTGGCGAACTCAAAGGCATACGCGAATATTATATAGAAGTTCCCCAAGTTGCCCCGTTTCCCTTTCTCGAACACCACCTTGCCTTATCTACTGAAAACGAAAACGCAACAAATTTGCCTTAAATCGCAGATTCGCAGGCTGTTCTGAAGAAAGGCAGTCGCGCCCGCCCGGGAAGGCACCTTACAGCGTAGTTAAGCGGAAACTACGTTATTAAACCACTGCGGGGTCGGGTATGCAGTCGCAGAATTTTCGCGGCCATTTTGCCTTCTTTCTTTCGTTTTATTTTCTTTTTCAAAACTAAATTTTGATGAGTAATATACATAAAGGCGATGGAATATTATCTGTTATGGAATTTAAAGTTCCATCCAGCTGCAGCAAAGCGTGTTGGCTTTTGAGACAGTGATGGGTTGGTCGGTTTAGCAGTGGTGGGTTCTTAACTTTTCCCATAGACTTTGTATGTTAATGTTTTTGAAAGTTTTCTTTCAGGCCTATCTTTTTCTTCAAAAACTAATTTGTGATGGCTAATCTACACTTTTAAGGGCTATCGAATAATACATAGTCACGGTAGTTTGGATCAGTACGTCGAGCTGACAGACTCAACAAAGATTAAGGCTTACGCGATTATTATATAAATTATTTTTTAATAACTGATTTTTAACGCATTACCGTAAACCGGGAACCGATAGCGCGAACTGGTCTGCTGCCGCTCTCTGCTTATCGGGATTTCCGCTGGCCAGCAGCACTTTCCCCAAAACATTGTGCGTCAAACAGCGCGTCCAGTTGGTGCCAGGCAGCAATAACTCCGCCGTCACTAGCATCTGCCGACACCGGTGCTCCACCTCCTCCAGCACTTTCACCTGTTCAGCCGGTTCCGTCTGGGTGTTGTCATTCATGAAACGGTGTATCTTGTCGTGATGCCGCTGATCAGCGGCGTAGGGAGATTTCGGTTTTGGGGGGGGCCTTAAGTACTGGCTTTGGGTGGTGCCACGTCCATAGGCTTTATGTTAAACATTTTCCTTTGGGGGGGCGGGGGGCGACCGCACAGGCGACTTCCTCGCGGTGGTCGAAGTCGAAGCTTAACGGAATGGCGCGTTGGCAGGCCGGTGTACAGCACAGGATGCATTCCAGTTCCGCTTGCTATTTAATACGTACAAAAGTAGTTAATAATTCAGAAATTGCTTTCAAACATCCTGTTACAAAATTCGTTTGTGCATTAAATGATTTCGAACAACTAAAAGCGTATATCCTTTATTTTTAAATCAACAAGGACGGCAAGGCGGTGGTAGGATTCCGCAGTCCCGCTGCTGTCGTCACCCTCCAAAGTATCGATGAGGCACAGATTGTACACCATCTCGAGCAGCATCTGCACTGCGATGCGCCCCCGTTAGATATGGAACGCATCGCCCACTGCATGGCCAGTCCGGTTGGTAGCCCAAAGAAAGCCAGGAATGAGAAGAAAGTACAGTATGGTATGTGTATCCGTGTACAGATTATGTCTGTAGTATGTGTCTAATGTGTTCTAAAGCATACTTGTGAGTTGTGACGTGGGTTGCGGCTGCAGGTGCTCGATAAATTTCATCCTTCATTGCATGTTGTTTCCTGGTGTACTCTGCAGCAGTGCGTTGAAACTGACAGTAATTCTGCAGATTCTGAGGGATTATCAAAGCTGCGATACTCGACAGTCGGCATATTATCGAAACCACACGTAGACAGCGGAGAATGTGAGCGAGGTGGATGTGCGCCAGCTGAAGAAATCCTGCCTGCACACCTTAGCGCTGCATGCACAAGTGGCCTCAAGCATCACCATCTTCCGTTTATTGTATTACGAAGCGGCTCCTAATGTGAAATTTTGATTGAAGAAAACAATAATAAGGGAAAAACTTAAAGGTAATTCTGTTTGGCAAGTGCGCTGTTTTCTTTTCAAGGAATATATGGTGGATGAATCAATTGCCTGATGGTGGTTCGATGACCTCTGTTAATTCTCTTCCATGTGATACTGGTAGAGAGAAAATGAAAATGCTGGCTCAGTCTCTGGTTCGAATTATGCAGAAAGCTGGTCAATTTAGATAAACACCAATAATTATTATCATCGTAAACTCAGTCTCGGGGGCAAACTGTCCGAGCGCTAAGTTTCAGCCTTTTCTGCTGTTTCATCCTCCGATCCTTCGGCGCTGTCGCTGGTTGGCGAAGACAAATCTGTGCGGCCAGCGATGTGGTGGGACAGCACATACCGGCAAAGTTTATTCATACGGCGCAAGTTCAACTCGCGCGTGTTGACCAACAACCAATCTCGGTCCGTGTACTGTGCTGATGGGCGCGGATCGCCAACCTGGCACATGTCCAAAACCTGCAAGTAATCAAAAATGTTTATTAATTTAGGAGTAATCAAAAAGCAACCCTTAACCCAGACAAGTACGAGATTCAGGAACCCGCTTAACACTGAAGAAAACAGTCAGCAACTGCATTCCTAGTCTACGCCTTGTGGAACAAATCGGTAAGTACATTAATTAAACTGTCGTAGAAACGGTCGCCTTTATATCCTCCATTCAGTCGTGCCGTCACCCGCGTCAGCCGGTCCAAATTCACCCGCTCGTCCCAACACAAATGTTTTTCGTAGAAATCATACCAATCTAACGCATCGAAGGTTTTCAGCGGGAACACAGCAAAATGGATGTGGAACTCGATGTCAGGGAGTCCGTTGACATCTACCGCAACGTCGCTAAAGGCCAGTGAGAAATCCTTCCAAATCAGCCGCTCACAACAAGATTTCAGCTGGGCATACATTTCGTAACTGCCGGCAAAGTAATCCTAGAGAGAGTTATCTTCTATTGGCATGGAAACAGATCGCTTGCACATGATCAACGGTCAATGCGAATATTGGATGCTCTTAAAACCCTCTCGATGTGCGATCAATTCGCCCGCGGTAGTGGAGCTTTCGTGTTCAAATCCGTCTTCGCGCTCGAGGTCGTCAATGGCGTCCCGAATGCAGATGGTCCGCGTGGCGGGCGTGATGTCCTTGAAGACGCAAGCATACGCGGCGTAATCGCTCGGCAATTTACCGTACGCATCGTTCTCCAGCGAGATGCAGACTGGTTTGCAAAGTTCTTCCAACGTCAGAATCTCATTCCACAGGTGACAGACGCGTCGGCAACGCAGGCGCTCCATGGTGTCCATTGACTCGAAGATCTCCGCAACAATCTCCGGCGCCAAAGCTAAGTAACCGACTTCGTCTGTTCGCAAGGGCTGCTTCCGTTTAGTCTTTTCCACAAAATCAGTTATTTCCGTCTCCTTAGGCTTTGCGTCTTGCACTGCTTCATTCCACAATCCAGCCTGTATAATTATTTAAAGGAAACCGTCAGCACACTGATAACCATATTTCACATTAAGCTAACACACCGATATCGGCAGAAGCAAGAACGCCCAGGCCAAACAGAGCTCGCACTTCTTTGGACAAAACTGTGGCTATACTGTGCCATAACTTACTGCGTCTTCTTCTGACACCGGGGATTCGCTGCTTCGTTGAAGATAGGTTATCGTCTGACTGAGAACCGCCACTATTCGTAAACCCTTTCCGGCGTTTTTTCCCTGTCCGGACACGTTCTCGAGTTTCTGCCGGAACAAATCTCTCGCTGCCGGTTCAGCCGTTGTCCAATAGCCTGGAGGCACGCTGCACGTTCGGATGACGAAGTCACCTGGTCGGACCATCCGTCGCTGGAGGTCTTCACCCGATGGCGGTGCAGACATCTGCTCGTCAGGAAGCAGTTCACGTGTATGCGCCCCGCCCACCATGATCTCGACCAGAGCGTAGTGACTCAAAGCCACGAAGCCGGACAGAACGACTTTGGCGGGATGCCATTTCCAGGGCTGATCGGGATGGCTGCGCAACAGCACCTGCACATCTTCATAATCGTCCCCGGCCGGGATGCTGCAGTACGCATTCTTCCCTTCCTCTGTCGTACGATGCGCGTCGCACAAGTTAAACACTCTTCCGTACTCGACCAGTAAGGAGTGCTGCGTTGCGTATCCAAAATCGATGATCAGTCGCGGCAGTGCCCCTGTAGTGTCATCCAGCCCGATGACGTGGCCCACTTGCAGCACTCCGTCCACGTCCACGTTCACCGCGTTCCAAGCGTTCAGTAACCGCTTGGACGGTTGCCAGAAAGGATGCCAGCCATCCGGCCTAGACTCATAAATGTACATGATGGTTAAACACGCGGTGCAATCGGTGAAATTCTGCCGTGAACGAGAAACAGCCATCAAACAGAAGGGAATGCTTAAAGGTGGCTATCTTATCGTGCAACACCAATGTTGTTATTAAGTTCTTATCACACCAGTACGTACGTCGGATTGTTCCTACTGTTGAACGGGCTTGTTGAACGGGCTTGTGTTGAACGGGCTTGTGCTTGGTGTTTTATAATATGCAGCAATCATCTTATGTCCAATCTGCCGCAAAAGTCGCCTTATACTGTGCTTAATCGGCAAGCGGTCCGTAAAATTGACTGGTAAGCAGCATTTATGAGTCTAGGCCGGATGGCATACAATGGCGTGCGAATGGGCTGGCATTTCCTGGCATTTCGCACATTACGGTTAAGTCGGTTATTATAATCACTTTTGCGACGTACGGCTGCATTTGATTATTCCGCGAAAATACGAATATCAATAAGTAGGGACACAAAAAGGAACCTAACCGCAAGGGTCCGGTGCTATCAGTACAGGCACGTTTACGGTTGCCGGCACTGAAAGCACTAAAGGTCATTCACGATTCTCAAAAGTTATTAAATTTTTGATTTCACGTTTCTTAAGTCCAGACAGTCTCTTAAATAATTTATTCCGTCTAAACTCACCACTGCCGCTCATTCTCGCCTGGGCACGCCTCTTGAAAGAGGTGTGTTTCATGCCTATTGGCAAGCTCGATATTGTCATCCTCGTTAGTTGACTATACGAGGTTGGCAAGTATATTATGGTGAATAGACTAGAATGTGTGGTGGTATTTCATATTTGCTGCTTGCACTTTGCTAAGAAAGCTGTTCAACGGGAGTATTCAAGCTGGAAACTGCTTATCGACCCAATCCTCGATTATCCCTAGTTGGTAGCACGTCAATTCGCCGACCCACAACTCGCTACCCGACAATTTGCTGACCGACATGCTGCTGACTTACACAACTCGCAGACCGACAAATTCTTGACGAACAATTTGCATTTCTCCTGAATTGTTGACCGACGTTTTGCTGAAACATTTCTTCTGACTGACAACTTGCTTTTCGCTTCGATGTGCAAATTTTTGAGTTTTCCTAACTTTTCGTTTTTTTTCTTGGTTTCTTAGGTTTTTGGTTTTCTTAGGTTTCTTGGCTTTGTCACGGCAGCAGATTGTCGTCAGCAAGTTTTCGGTGTTCACAAAAGGTCGTTCAGCGAGATGTCGTTCCGAGTTGTCGTTTCAACAAGCTGTCGGGTCATGATTGCGACGCTCAGCAAAAAGTCGCCAGCAAGTTGTCGGTCAGCAGGATAGTCGTCAGTGAGTTGTCGGTTTGCCCGTTTAGCTACTTATTACTGTGAAACTAGCGATCAGCTATACGATTTAGTGGGTCCAATTTGCTGTGGATCGTGGAAATGAGTGACCTCTAAACTCCCAGTCCCAGTCGAAAGGGTTGCTAGTGTGACGATTTGAGTGTAGTGGGGCCGATTGCTTGAAGATCAGGATCGATACCGGACAGTTTGCGTTAGAAGAAGTGATCCGGTGCATGGTACCGAATTCAGGTACTTACTGTTTATACTGCACTTTCATCCACTCTCAAATGTCTTTTTGCCTTGCTTTATATTTATGACCATCCAAAGCCAAATGGTTTATACAGTTTGCCGTGAAAATAGCTTGTGTGGAAAAATCCGGTTAGCGAATTTTTTTCTAGGATTTAATTCGAGTTTTTAAGTAGCACAACACTATCTGTACACGCGCTTTCGACACGACATCCACAGAATAACTGCGAATAGTATCTCGACATCTCAGATCCGCAACAAAATGGAACTACATATTTCCAGCGCTTAAAATCAGCAACCTAAGAAAATCTGCCGATTGTTTACCACTATTCCGAATTATAATTGCTGGATTGGCCGGATTCATCAGCGGATTCGTCGCTGGATTGGCAGCTGGATTCCCCCGACAGTGCAGCATCCGCGGGCGCTTCGCACCAGTTCTGCATGTGGTGTGCTAAGGCGTACAGGCATGTGAGACCGGGATCACTAGCGTTCACGTCAGTGGCGCTACGCCTGTGGCGCTACGCCTTTGGACTACGTGTCTGTGTTGTGTCTCTTGTGATTGGCTTGCGTTCTGATAGTGGGCGCGGCATGGCACGTGCTGCACAGCGCTGCACGCTGTTGAATTGGCTCTACGTTTTACGATCGAGCTGCGCCGATCAGTTGATTGATTTTCTGTTCTCCAGACTTTCGATATTAAAAGTCAGCTATTAGCAGTGCGACGTTTCGTGTTTCCGCGTAGTTCGCTACCCATACTGCATAGCTCACTCCGCAGGATAGATTCTGTTTCTGTCTCTGTTCCTGGATCTATTCTGGATCTAGCTTTAGATGGTAGCAGAGCCGACAGCGGTTCTCTGATTGAATTGATCTGATCTGATTTGAATTGTGTCAGGCAAAATTGGCCTGTTATTTGACGTGTTACCCGCGACCAGCAAGGCGCAGGTCTGTGTGACAGCAAAGCGCACACCACAAGCGGTGCAATTTCCTCCAACGGACGCGGATTTCCAGCTTCGGTTTTCGGTACGGTATCTTCAGCGAAGAACCGTGCTGTTTCCTTAGCTGTGCAAGAGTGCAAGAGTTCAGTCGCCAGTGTTCCTCGGTGTAGAGTCTTCAGCGAAGACCTACACTGGTGTCACTGGTACTCGGCAAGGATTCAGCGAATCCTAAGCCGTGGGCCACAAGCGGCGAAGCGCCAAAAGGGGCGCACGGAAGAGACCAGATCAGACTCCTCCAAATTGGAGTAGAGCACTACTACTGTTGCTACGGCAGTCAGCCGGCACAGTAGCACACTAAAAGCGTGCGGCACAACCGCTACGGAAAAGCGGCAGCGCGGGAGCGGATTGTGGAGAAGAATCTGGATCATTTGGATCATTTCCCCGTGGAACGCGGAACGGACGGACGGTTAACAGGTAGAAAACCGTTAATAATTACGAGATTGGCTAGTTGGTAAAATTGGCAATTTTTATTGGTCCGTACTGAGCTGAGTGTAAAAGTAGGCGGAGTTTTGCACGCGGCGCGCATGTCTGGCCGTTGACCGTGACGTCAGGCAGATAAAAATTCTTAACGGATTAACGTGATTGGTCAGTTATCTGAGCTGTGATTGGTCGACATTTGAACTGAATATTTTGAGCTAGCGGACCAATCAGAACGAAGTAAACAACCCGAATGGGGATTTTCCGTTGAACTAGAGTCGTAATGGGAAATTTGATTTAAGATGAGATAACTGAGCGGGAAAGTGACCTTTAGACTTGAATTGAGTTGAGAAGTGACCTTTTGAGTTGAGACAAAGGAAAAGTGACCTTTGATCGAATTGAGCTTAAAAGTAACCTTTAACTTGAATTGAGCGGGAAAGTGACCTTTTAACAGAAATTGAACTGGAAGGTGATCTTTCGAGTTGAGTTGAGTCAGAAAGTGACCCTTGAGACCAGAAGTTGACTTTTGACTTTGAAAAGTGACCTTTACCAAAAAGTTGGAATTGACCAAATTGACCAATTTAAGTGACCTTTATGATCTGAAACTGACGAACGGTGACCTTTATCGAAGCGAAATTGAACTGAATAGTGGTACAGCGATATCAGCAGCTGTAAGATTTCATTCACTAACGTGTTTGGAACCGTAGAAGCCGTCTCGAAGTTTTGTCCGAAAGTGACCTTTTAGGGCAAATCTCTCGAACTTTTTACCGAAAAAGTGACCTTTATAAGGGACTTAGTTGAAATTTTTTCAATCGAAAAGTGACCTTTACAAAGGACTTAGAAAAATTTCGAAGTACGAAGTGACCTTTAGGACAACTGAATAAACCATACAATAACGTGTGTGTGAGAACAATTGGCAGGAGCGTCCAAGTTATCCGATCAACATGGACAAAGAGGAACCGACATCCACTAGCAGTCAGGGAAGCAGGAGCTCCCGGGGATCACAACAAGGCACAGTTGATCCTTATAAGAAGGAATACAAGTCGCTCGCGCGTCCAGTCGGACATGACAGACAGACCCGAGCGGCTGTGACCTTTGCAAGAAAGGACAGCAAAGGCAGTGATAACACATACCAAGTGGCGCTTGGAGCTATACAGAACGAAGAGAGCTCCAGCGGTGACGGAAAGGAAACTCCCGCGTCTACGGCGGGAGGCAATCCGATGAACCAGACAAAGGTCACCGGGGAGGATAAACCCACAGTAAGAGGAGCGGAACCAGTTGGAGCATCACAGCTTGATGCTACCATTAGTGGAACGAATGAGCAGGATAAAAATGTGAACCTGGCTCAAGTGGACGGGAGAAACACAAAGGTCACCGAAGAAGAACTCGTTGAACTGGGACTGGATGACCTTTCACTGATCGATAAAACCGCAGGCGATGACCTTTGGGCAACTCCAATGGTCTCAGATGAATCGAATGAATCATACTTCACGGATGATGAAGCGACGATGAATATGTCCTTCCAGACTGCGATGAAGGAAGCTGACCGTGTTGAAGGGATGACACCATTCAAGGACATACCCGAGCACCTTATTGAACGGACACAAATGGGAAAGGTCATCAATGTTAGATCGCCATCACCGAACAGTCCCACGTCAACTCTGAAGAGACGCGTAAAGGAGTTGGAAGAGGAACTCGAAGCCAAGGAAGGCCTGGTGACGAAAAGGAAACAGGAATATCAAAATCGGATAGGAACTCTGGATGCTCGTATCTATGAACTGGAGCAACAACAGGCCGACTTGGAAAGCGCAGCGGATGAATGGAAGATTAAATACGAGCGTCAAAAAGAACTCGCTGAAGAGTACCTCAAAATGGTAGATGACAGAGAAATGGAAGGTCATCTCGCGGTTAGCGAGTTGAACGAGAGTATGTCGGAAGAGTCGGCGGAAAGGTCACGGCACTTAGCCGAATTGAAGGACGAATGTGACCAGTTGCGTCAAAAGGTCACTGAAGCTGAAACTAAACGGGACGAGTACGCGACCAAATTCGCAGAGGTCACACAACGGTTGACAACATTGGCGACGGAGACGTTCAAACTAAGGAATGACCTGAAGCTACGGGAGGAAGCAGTCAGTACTCTACAACTAGAATCAAAAGGTCATCAGGAACGGGCGGACGAAGCTGAGAAGTTGCGCAATGATGCAATCAAAGCGATGCGAGAGGCAAGAGACATCACAGCTACTGAAGGAGAACGCCTGAAAGAAGAAATCAAAAAGGTCAACCAGGAGAATGAAAAGGTCATAGAAGACATTGAAAAGGTCACTAAGGAAGGACTCAAATGGCAGAAGGAAGCACGGCGACTGGACACGATGGTCACAACATTGGAGTTGGAGGACAAAGAGTGGCAACAACAGGTCGCTCAAAAGAGTCAGGAAATTGCAAGGTTGAACACTGACCTCGTCGAGATGACCACCACAGCATTGGCAAAAGATGATGAGTTGATCGCAATCAAGGATCAGCTGAGATCAGCCGCTGGGCAGTATCAGCAACTCGAAAAAGAAACGAGTGAGCTGGTCGAGCACATCAAAAAAATGGAACGGGAAAAAGAAAAGGTCACCCAGCAGGAGTCTTTTAAACTGCAGGAACACTTACGAAAGGTCAACCTGGAAAATTCTGATCTAAAGAGGGAAAGAGAAGAACTTCAACTGAGAACTAAACGATTGGAAGATGAGAACAAGGCGCTCCAGACGTCTAACAAGCACAAAGATGAACAACTCCTACAATACGGAGTTAAAACGGCAACAGTGGAGTCCCCTCCGCCCAGTTACAGCAAGGCGCATGAAACGGGCACGGGCAAAAGCTTCCACTTTGAGATGCCGCTACGAACCGGCACCGGTAAGGGGAGTGTTAAAAATGAAAGAGATGGCGAAAAGGTCAAAGACGACAAAGAGCCACCTTCGGAAAGTTACCCGCATATGAGTCGAGGTGAACCTTCACAATTTCCCCCGCACATCGAAACGAATGTGTTTATCGACGAAGGACGACGAGACAGACCCCCCAGCCGGCAGGAACGTCCAAGGAAGTCTCGTTATGGGAAGGCGCAACGAACTCACGATGATGATGAGAGTAGCGAAGAAGACGAGGACCAGAGAGCAGCCAACACAGCGGTACAATTAACAAAGGCACTCAATTCGATGGCTCGGAAAACACCCCTCATGACCTTTGACGGCAGCCGCGACACTGTGAGTGGATGGACACGGTTGGTAAAAGAAACTCAAAGGACGTACCAGCTGACGGACGACCAAATTATGATTGAGATTGCTAGTGCGGTGAAAGGTCCTGCTAAAACTTGGTTCGAAGGCGAAAAAGACATCGCAGCAGAAGACAGAATTGAATATTCAATAACTGAATGGATGGAGAAATTCAAAGATGAATATGGCGATAGAGACGAAGAAGTCTTAGGCTTACGTGAGGCCTATGCAAGGAAATTCGAACTCGGAAAGGAATCGCTTGATCAGTATTACCAGGCGATGATGCGATTCAAAGCAAAACGGATCATCACAGAGAAACAAGCAGTGGGTTTCCTAATTGAAGGATGTAGAGGGGATAACGAACTCTACAAAGCATTGCGCATACAGAAGTGCAAGACGCCGACGGACGTGAAAGATTTCTTTCGACATTGGGCAACGGGAGAGGAAAAGTATAAGGCGCCGAAAGGTCAACGTAATCAGGAATACGTGACCATCCGCCAAGGTCAAGTTGAAAACGTGCCGCAACAAAGAATGGCAGCTGCGCCAGCCCAGCAGCCGGTTGAATACCGCGCAGAGACTCCGGTCAGAGAGGTCACGGAAAAGGTGACCTTTATCGACAGTCAGACGGGGCAACCGATAACATACGCGATGGTGGCGGCGATACAGGCAGCAGCTCAAGTGAGACCAGTAGCCCAGAATGTGGCTCCACAGAATGTGGCCCCACCTGCACCACAGAATATGGTCCCCATGAATGTCGGGTTACCACAACAAGGAGGGGGTAACGGTAACTTTGGCGGAAATGGATATGGGAATGGAAACTGGAATGGAGGCCAAGGAAACTTTCAGAATCAAGGTCAAGGTCAAGGCAACTTTCAGCCAAATAGAGGAAACCAGAACTACCAGCAGAATCAAGGGTCACGGACAGAATTCAAGTTCCAAATGATTGACGGATGGGTGGCGAACAACGTTCAGATGTGCCAATACTGTATGTATGGCAACCACCAGACCCAGGGATGCAAATTCGCCAACACACCACCGGAACAGAACCCAAACCTGTTTGCCTTCAACGAGTGGCAACGACTGCGCGGGCTCGGTGGTTGGCGCCAAGCGGTCGCAAATGGATATGACCTGATTACGCAATGGTACCAGGCGAAAGCGAACTTCCAGAATCAGCAAGGTAACGGAAACTATGGAAATGGAAATGGGGGCGGCCAAGGCGGCGGCTATCGCGGCGGTGGCTTCGGTCGCGGCGGCTTCAGAGGAAGGAACAGAGGTTATGGCCGCGGAAATTACAGAGGCGGTGGAAATGGAGGCGGAAACTACCAACAGGGTGGTGGCCAGCCAAACGGAGGCGGCCCGGTGAATGATCAACAGCAGGGAAATGTGCAGGGCGCGCAACAAGGAGGGGCGCCGGTTCAGGGAAACGGGCAAGATCAGTAGGCACCGGTGAGCCTACTGATCGACCCGACCCTAAACCACCGGATAAAAGGGAAAGGTCACCACTGCAGAATGGTACTGCAGTGAACGTGACCACTGCAACGGCTATATGGATGCCGTCAGCGAAAAAGCAAAGTGGACCGGCTATATGGATGCCGCAACCACAAGAAACGGCTAGATGGACGCCGCCACAGCAAAGAGAAACGGCTATATGGATGCCGTCATCGCAAAAAGGAAATGGAACGGTTATAAGGACACCGTCGCAGAATCAAAGGTCACCGCAGAATGGTACTGCGAGTGGAAGCGCGCAACGGGACCAAAGGTCACCGCAGAATGGTACTGCGAGTGGGAATTGTCGTGACGGTAGCGCGACACTGCAAAAAGTGCAGCAAAATGAAAGGTCACCGTACTGCAGCGAAGAAGTGTTAGCGCAACGACGTGCACAACGTAATGCCAAGATTCGACAAGCGCTGTTAAACCAAAAGAAACCGCAAACTGATACCGCAGAAGAAGTGGAAATGCACCACGAATGGTTCCGGAAACAGATAAATGAAAACGACAAGGCGAATGAGCCAAGGTGCGATTGTTACGGGGAACCAAAGCCAAAGTTTTGGAATGGTTCAGAAGACGAAGAAGAGAAGCGAATAAGGCAAGAATGGATTAAGCAGAATATCACCGTCATTAGTAAAGATGAAAGGTCACCTTCTGTTGGAAAAGTTCAAGCGAAAGGTCACGGAGCAGGTGTGAACGCCAAAGGTCACGGCGACAGCGTCGTGTTAAAAGGTCAAGAAACAGACTTGACACTGCGAACAGCGCAGCAAAAGAATGGCGAATTGGCACGACAGAACTCCGATGACTCACTTGTAGATGCAATAACGCTGCAACAGAAGGAAAAGTGGCAAAAAGTGGCCTACAGACCGAATGGCAATCACGGGATGTGGATACCCGTAACGCCGAAAGCAAAGCAGAAAGCGAGAATGTCACAAGAGGACTACTGGGACATGCAACAGTTGCGAACGCAATGTGAAAGAAAGCGACTGGAAGAGTTGGTTACCGGGAAACCAGCGCAAGGGTCATCGAACCCAGTCCCAGTATTCAATCCAGAAGAATATAAGAAGACATTCGCTGACTGGAATCATTCACGTAATGCTCCACCACAGGATAAACCGCCGAATTATGGAGAAAAAGTCCCCATACAAAAGCTGACAGGTGGCGGATTTGTCATGAAGCGCAACGAAAGGTCACAGGACTTAGCGCAAAATGAACAAAAAGGACGGTCAAATGAAATGGCGCAAACGAAACAGAGTAACGCAGTTGAAAGGTCACGGGACTTATCGGAGGCGCTGAAAAAGGATGCCAATGACAAGTCACCAGCCCGAACAGACGGAATGTCTTCACAAATTGATCAGACAAAAACGAACAATGAAATCTCCGCGAAGGTGATCGAATGGATGACCGAAAAAGGATATGACATGGTTACATATGAAAGGTCACCAGATGAGATGAAAGATAGCGAAGAAGACGAATTGAAGCGAGCTGACCAAATAACAAGTGAAGTCATTGAGAAGCTGAGAGATAAACGAAATGGAAATCGTAAAGAGGAATTGATCCATCAGACGATAAGTGAAGTGACTAAAGGTCACATGGATAGCACAAAAGCAAATGAGCAAGTGCAGAATGTGGAAAAGGTTACCAGTGGTACAGAGAAGCAAATAAATAAAGAAAAGCCGCGAAAATATTACGATGTTCGGACTAACGTTCCACATAGGATTGATAAGTTGAGCGAGATATTGAAAGGTCATAGCACTCCAGCAAAAGGACAAGTGCTTCCCGATATGGATCCAGGACCAGTATCGCTCATCCCTGTGAAATGTAAGATTCACACATTGAAGATTCAAAACGGAAAATTGCCTAAAAGAATTGAAGCATACACTCACGAAGTGAAAGTGGGAGACATAAAGGTCAACGCAATGTTGGACACCGGCGCTGAGACGTCGCTGATCAGCAAACCGTTCTGCGAAAAGAATGGACTCCACATGCTCCCATTGCCACCAGATAGACTGGTGAAAATAAACGGAATTAGCGGAACGTCAGGATTCCTGGTGACGCACTACTGTGTAGCGCCAGTGACCTTACGAAAGAAGACAAGCGAACATTCCTTCTACGTCCGACCGAAGTGTGACGACGTACAGGTGCTATTGGGATTTGACTTCTTGGAAAAGAAATTCGTACTGATGGACAATGAAGGTGAAGAAGAAAAAGAGGATGACCCCAAACCAGTCGCCAAAGTTCAAGTCGGAAAGGTCACCGAACTTGTAAAACAGACGGGAAATGCTCAAATGGTTAATAAAACGCTAATCCCAGTACCAGAGGCACCGGGAAACGAAAAGAAAAAGATGACGCGAAAAGAATTGTCACCATTTGAGCAGTTGCAAATGATTCAGCAGGAGATCGAAAAGACATTAAATCGGACCTTGCTGGCACCAAAGGGAAGAGAAAAGGTCATCCCAGTACCAGAGGCACCGGGAATGACAAAAGTGCAGCAGGAAGAAATTATCCCAGTACCAGAGGCACTGGAAACGAAAAATGAAAATGGAAAAGTCGGAAAAGTTATCCCAGTACCAGAGACACTGGGAAAGGAAGACGAAAGGTCATCAGCAACTGAGAACTTGGAACGAGAGCGTAATTCGAACCTTTTCGAACCACGATCTGCTACCCAAAATGAAAGGCTTTCAGATAAAACCAAAGAGGAAGTAACAGAACGTGAATCTCAAAAGGAACCCTTTTTCGAACCACGACCTGCTACCGAAAGGTCACCAACGATTGAAGAGATAATTGCCACACAGAAAGAAGCGGCAGTTGCAGCAAAACAATCTCTTGTGCCAGACATGGAGTGGGCAAAGCCTATCCCAGTACCAGAGGCACTGGAAATAAAGACGGCTAAAGTGGGGAAGGATAAAAAGAGTGAAAGGTTACGAGTTTTGAAACGAATAGTTGAAGAGGAACAGATGTTTACAGGCGAAATCCGCGACAAGGCACTCGAACAATTGAAAGCAGGTCACCGAACAGAAAAAGGTCACCGAACAGAAAAAGAACCAGAGGTCATTGAAATATCCTCTGAGGATAAAAGCGTGACTCCAATCGAATGTGAGGAAGATACCACAGTACAGGAACAGGTTAAACCTGAAGCGAGTCAAAGGACATTAACTCCAGAAGAACGAGCCGGGAGTTGTCACCACGGTTACTTTGAGGATCCGTGCAGGGTGCAACCACAATGGGAATGCGCGGAATGTTTTGAAAATGCCTCTCAAGATGACCCTTCAGAATGGCCAAGATGTAATGCCGCATTAGCAGACCTTAAAGGTCATGCCCAAAAGAAAGCGAAAAGCATCATGCGGACAAACGAAATGTGGAAACCACACATCGAACGGTATCACTGGAATAGATATCGAACGTGGCTGTCATGTGTGGAAAGTTTTATAATTGGAAGAGGCAGATGGCTAAACCATTGGTTGCAACGTGTCGAGAAAGGAATCCAAGATCCTCTCGATCCGGTAGCAACAGAAAAGAGATTTGAACGAGAGATAGAAGAAATGACCGAGGAAGGAGAAATGTGGGAAGAAGCGAGAGTTGACCTTTTCTGGGACTTCCGTGTGAACCACATGTATAAAGGCGAGGGGAGAACGATCATCTTCCCAGCAGGACTCGGTACACCTGTCTACGAATCACTTGAAGTGTACTACAACGCGTTAAAAGAAGGAAACGAAAAAGCATTCGAGAAATATTGGAAGAAATTCGAGGAAGAAATCCCCAAATTTGACGTAAAAGAAATGCGAGAACTACAGGTAACTCGGAAAAGAAGGTTACCGGGTTTGATGCAAAAGAAAAAGGTGACCTTTGCACCAGATCCAGACGGAGTGGACTACCCAGAACGAGGTGGCGATACATGGTGCATGTATGAAACGATTCCAAATGATGAATGGGTCACCGAAGAGCTGATGGCAAACTGCATCTTTGTTGGTCCTAAACGACCTAAAGGTTACGAAACAGTTCAACAGGATGAAGCCGATAAAGGGACTGTCAAAGAAGCAGAGAAAGAGGAACCAGCTCAAGAGATAGCCGAAGGACAATCGAACGAAACAGAAGAAAGTTCAAAGTCGGCTTTCGACATTGCGCAGATGTTAACGGACAGAGGCGAAATGTGGAAGAAGTTTAAAGAAGAAGTTGAACGAATATCGAATGAACAGCAAAACCCAGTAACTGAGGCAAAAAACGGGGAAAGGTCACTCGATGACGGTGAGGAATGTCCGCCGGTCGAGTGGACCGAAAAGCCATTAACGAGCCGCGAAGAAATAAATGAACTGGAAAAGTCAAAATCGGACGAAGAAAGGTCAAACTCCGACCAATCAGAAAGGTCACCAACGAGAATTCGGGTAGCAAGGAGTCACCCAAGAGTCGCCGCACGAAACGGGCGAAAGGCAAAAGAAGGGGACAAACCTCTGCTCAAAAATTCGAAAGCGAAAAAACTTAGCGATTCGCGGGAAAGTGAAAGTGACCTCTCATCGGAAGACGAAGGAGTTGATGAGCGCCCACTCGAAAAGACTGACAAAGGTCAAGCCACTGCACAAGAATATGAGAGCAGTAATTCGGATTCAGAGTGGACGAGCTCAAGTGACAATTCAACAACTTCGGAAGATTCAGGTGTAAGTGACCTTTCGGAGCAAGAAGATTTGATGGACTTGGATGAAGATGACGAAGTAGACGAGCTCAAAGAAAAGGATATCAAAGTCAGAAGGTTGAAAGTGGAAAAAGCCAGAATGTCCAAAGACGTGATCAAAGTCTACAGTGACCAACGAATTAAACTGAAACCGTCAAATTGCACACGCGTAAAGGTCAAGATGGGAAAATATGCACCGGCTCAAAACAAGCTGATGTTTACACCGGTCCCACAAGTGGAAACTGAAGTGCAACCGCTGGCAGGAGTGACGGACCACAGGGGAAAATACTTCGAAATCGTCATCGCAAATCATAGTAGCAAATACCGAATCGTGAAGAAAAATCAGCTTCTCGGCTACGTTGAGCCGTATGAACATATGGAGAATGTAAAGGTCAACGCAGGGACAGTAAAGAACGTACTCGAAGACCCTGAGGTGGATGAGACAACGAAAGCTGAACTTAAAAAGATAATCGAAAACCTGAAATTGGGACCTGACCTTACCCAAGAGCAGAAAAACGACGTGTACAACGCGTTTTGGGAATTCTGGAAAGTCTTACCCACATCAAGGAAACCGTATGGAGATGTGAAAGGGGTCACCCACGTAATTGATACGGGAGATGCGAAACCAGTAAAATGTAACCCGGCCAGAACGAGTTGGACAGGCCGCGAGTTTATAACAAAGCATATCGAAGAGATGTTGGCACAAGATGTAATTGAACCGTCAGACGCCGAGTGGAGTTTCCCAGTCGTATTGGCAGTAAAGAAAAATGGCGACGGAACAATGGGAACAAGATTTTGCGTCAATTACATCATGCTTAACAAGCTAACGAGAAAGAATAATTACCCGTTACCAAATCCGGATGAGTTGCTCGACGCGTGCGCAGGCAACAAATATTACGGAAAAATGGACTTACAAAGTGGATTCTGGCAGATCCCAATGGATCCAGCGTCAATCAACAAGACGACCTTTGTAACACAAGATGGAATGTACCGATTTAAAAGAATGCCATTTGGCGTATGCAACGGACCAGCAACGTTTCAATTGTGTATGGATAAAGTACTTTCGAAAGCGAAAAGAAAAGGTTGCGTTTTCGGGTATATCGACGACGTGATCTTCGCCGGAAAAACTTGGGAAATTTTCATGCAGAATCTGCGAAATGTTTTAATGAGTCTGGTGGAAGCGGGATTCACGATTAAGCCAACGAAATGCGAATTTGGAATGAGACAAATGGGATTCCTGGGTCATATACTCAGCGAAGATGGAATCAGAATGGATCCGGAAAAGGTCACCGCGGTCTCAGAATTCAAACGGCCTCAAACAGCAAGGCAGTTAAGGTCATTTCTCGGACTGGCGAATTATTATCGCAAATTCATAATGGGATACGCACAGAAGACTTGCCACTTGTACGAGTTGCTGAGACAAGATAAACACGTGAAAAAGGACTGGACCACAGTGCATGAAGAAGAGTTCAATAGTTTGAAGAAGTTGTTGTGTGAAGGTCCAGTACTGGCAAAGTTTGACCCCGCGAAACCGACCGTTATTGAATGCGACGCGAGCAAAGAAGGAATCGGAGCCGTGCTGTCACAAGATGGACATCCGATCGCGTACGCCAGTCGTGTCCTACATGGAGCGGAGAAGAATTACGGTGTAACAGAATGGGAATGCCTGGCAGTAGTGTTCGCTGTCAGGAAATTTAAGCCGTACATTGATTACGCAGAATTCACCGTAAGGACGGACCATCAGGCGCTGACCAACTTGCTAAGGTCAGAAACGAATAAAGTTGGAATGAATCCACGCTTGACAAGATGGGCAATGGCATTACAAGGCCACCAATTTAAAATCGAATACAAACCGGGAAAATATTGTGACAACGCGGACGCGTTATCAAGAGCGCCAATTGAAGGTCCGACGTGTCACGAAGAAGAATTTGACGAGATTCCGAATTTCGAGGATTACAAGAAGGAGTTTGATACGAAGGAACCGGCAATTGAAGTTGGACAGCTGTTCCTGCAGATGGTGGAACAGAGGGAGAAACGATTAAAGGTCACTTCAGCTACGGCGAACGAGTCGGCTGAAAACGAAGCAAAAGTGAACCGAGTGAGAAGCTGGTTGCCCGCCGTTAGTGACTTAAAGGTCACCGGACTTGACGCGGAATCTCAAATGCAGAATGGAAAGGTCACGGGACTTGATGATAGAGCGGAGAATAGAGAAGACCTTTGGGAAACGGACAAAGTGGCACAAGCGTTGAACGAATGCCCAATCAAACTGTTGAGATTCCCAAAACAGGCGAAAAAGCGGTACAAACCGTTACCACGATGCAAGGTCATCAAGGATTGGAATGAACTCAGTACAGCGACAGTTCGCATTGTCAACCTGCAAGGTGACGAAGAAGAGGTTGATGACTCAAACTTGCAATTGCGGAATAAACAGTTGAAAGATCCCCATCTGGCAATGATCATAGACGAATTGGAACACCTACCAGATGCGGAAACAAGATCGAAATTTGAAGTGCATTACCAGTTATGGAATGGTATATTATACCGAGTAAAGGATAAAAATGGAAAACTTGAAAGGTCATATGTTGTTCCGTTGTCAATGCGAAGAGCAATAATCCACGCATTGCACGACGAGAAAGCAGCGGGACATCTGGGATTTGAGAAAACATTGTCAGCAATAAGACTCCGATATTACTGGGACAGGATGAGTACAGACGTAAAGAATTACATACTCGCCTGTCAAGGATGTCAGTTCCGTAAAACACCGAGGAAATGTCCACCTGGAAAATTGCAAGAGATTAAGGTTGGACATCCGTTCTTCCGAGTGTACGCTGATCTGAAAGGACCGTTGCTCCCAACGAAGAAACGCGGATACAAATACATAGCGGTATTCATCGATCAACTGACGAAATACGTGATTGCAGTACCGATGAAAACGGCGACGGCCAAGGAATTCGCTAAAGTGTTCGTGAAGCACGTGATATTGGTACACGGAGCACCGCACATCCTACATACGGATCGCGGACGACACTTTACAGCTGAAGTATTAGCAAAGGTCACCAACGTGTTTAAGATTAAACACACATTTGGAACCGCATATCACCCAGAAGGTCAAGGCCAAGTTGAAAGACAGATGCAGACGATTGCTGATGGCTTGGCACAATACCTGAAAGCGGGAAATGAAAGAAAATTTAACAAGTACCTCCCATATGTTATTTCGGCGATGAACAGAGTCGTACACGCCACAACCGGATATTCAGCATACTATATGCTACACGGCAGAGAAATGACAATGCCGGAAGATGTGGTTACAAAAACGAATATACCCGATGATTATGGGACTCCAGACGAATGGGTGGAGACCATGAAGAAGAACTTGACCTTTGCAGAAGAAGTGGCACGGTGTAATATTAAAGACGCTTATGAGAAGAATGCGGAGATTTACAATAAGAAGAAGTCTGAGCCGAACTTCAAAGTGGGAGACTTCGTATTGATACGGCTACCAAAGGATACGAA